CATGTTTAATTCAATGTGTTACTTGCCGTTTCTTTGTAAGTATTTGTGAAATTTACTTGCAGTTTCAGAGCGAAAACTGTTCTAAATCAGATCAATCTGTTTTAAATGAGACCAAAATATTTTTAGGATGAATCATCGACATTTTTTGTCTGTTTACCTTGAAAAAAAAAAAACTATAGAGAGAGAGAGAAGAAAAAGAAGAGTGAATGGTCTCAGAACTAATACACATTGAAAAAATTCCATAAAACTCCATAAATTCCATACATTTTTCTGTCATGGATTCTTTATAAATGCATGTAGAAATTATTTACTATTCAATATTAAACCAGAATAAGTTTACTATTTTTGCTTAAAAATTCAGTATTGTGACATTGTTGGCTCCTATAATAAAATGCATTTATACGTCGCTTAGGATGAAAGTACATGTGGAAGTTGCAGCTTGTGCAAGCAAAATTAAATTTAGTGCAAAAAACAAAAGCCACCATCATTTTACCCAGTAAATGCTGCTTCTGATGGTATAAATCATAAAAGTATATGTACATTAAAACAAACATGTTGCATGCAGTCTATGACATCACTAATGTTTTTCTCACGATCAATCAGATCACAACTGTTTAAAATAGATCAACTGGTAACACTTAAAATGCAACAATGACATCATAACAACATAATTCATCAAACATACTGCAATTAATGTCAGACTCAGTAATCAGCATGAAGTAAGTCTCAAATTTAAGTTTATAACGGTCAATGTAAATAGAGTTAATTAGCAGAACACCACTGATGGTAACGATTCACCTCAACAGGCCAATTCATCAAACGGCATCTCTGAAAACTCAAATTGCGGTTTGATTATTTGTACTGCAACTAAAGGACGATTAAAGCAGAAAGGCGAATAACCGTTAGCGGTAACAGGCCGTATGAGTCTGAAGTAAAGTTTATTGGTAAGTGTTCTGCTGTATATTGTAACACATTTTGCTGCCTGGATTACCCTGGATTTCAAAATACACAAATCTTATTAAACCAATCAAGAATGTGTGGAAGTCATAATTCATCTCCCAAAAAATGACATTTTGATTGAAGCAAATGAAGCCTATTTAGAGGACCTTAATGATTTTTTTACATAACATTGGCCGTGTTTTCATGAGAGTTTGGGTAGAAATATGACCAGAACATGTTTTTATGACATTCATTTAAATAACGATTATCTATTCATTATAATTTGTTGGACGTTTTAAGTGTTTAGACGTGCCAGATCTATATTTGGTCAAGTGAAGAAAGTGACGAGAGTGATAATGTTGTTTCCAAAATACACAGCGAACAAGATAAAGAGACCAGAACACAACAAAAATGACAAGATGCTTTCCAACAGCATGAGAAGCTCGTCAAGACACTGAATTCCAGACTTATTAAAAAAAGGCATTCACTTTTCTATTAAAGACAGTAATAGCTTGTGTTGTGAGTAATGGAGTAATGCTAAGTGGGTAATAATACCAATCAGGGTAAATCATGTAAATGTCTAATATATATATATATATATATACACACACCTATTTTGAGGAATAACATTTTTTTGCATTGTGACATTATATCTGACAATTAATAACATTTTCCCACCAAACTGTTATCATTATAATGCATCCAGATGTTTTACTATTTCTAATGGATGTGAGCAAGGCCATTTGTACATGTTCTCATTATAATTTTATGTAGCCTATATGACAGATTTGTTCTGCACATGTTGCCCTTAAAGGTGCCTTCCTTTTCAAAGTGATTCAAGCTATTCAAAACCATAATTTTGGCAGGCCAAGAGAGAATCGCGGTACCTACTATGGGTGGTGTATCACGGTTTTTCGGTTTGGTTTGAATATTGTTACACCACTAATATTATATGTATGTATGTATGTATGTATGTATGTATATATATGTGTATATCTTTATTGAGTGATGTGGGCCAAAAGTAACTGTTGCATTATTTCCAACTACATTAAATGAAAATCTACATTTTAATGATGAAATTAAATTAACATATTGTCTACATTTCAATGCAAAAAAAAGAAGAAATGCTAAATCAAAAAGTTAATTGGCAGACCAAATTACAGGTAACCATAGGCCAACTTTGGCACGCAAGCACTGTTTGAGCATCTCTACTTTAGACCAACATGATTTGGCAGCCAGACCCGCATTGACCCAGTACGACCACCATACATACAGTCAGTCTGGCAAAACACTTCCAGCATATACTGTCTGGATTTGTCCTTAAATGTTACCCATCTGCTATTTCCTCATCTGGGGAAGAGTTTTCTACCTTCCTTTTCTACTCTAGAGAAAACAGTAACTAGTGAAAGCAATGCAAACAAAGACTTTTCAGCAAAAAAAGAACATTCAACTGCAAAAACAACACAGCATTGTAAAGAGATTCCTCAGCAGGGAAAGAATGCAGTCTTTTGAGAGGATGAAAGAAAAATGTGTGTGTACATGCAGGCATAGATATATGCTAGACCTGTGTTTAGCCAAATCAACAAAAGACAACAGATAGATCTGGCAAGGGACATTATACCAGCAGGCCCACATAGAAGATTCGAAGAAAGCACTTTAGATTTCCTGAAAACTGGAACGCCCATCAGCAACTCCACCCATAGCGTGTTCGGTTATTAAATATTTTGGTCGAAAGAAAGTGTCTTCACTGTAGTAATATTTAGTTTTCAACATGCACTCTCAAAAATAAAGCTTCCAAAAGGGGGTTTTGGCAGCAAGGCCATAGAACTAAACCATCTTTGAAGAACATTTAAAAAATCTAAAGAATCTTTTGTGAAATGGAAAGATTCCATGGATGTTGAAAGTTCATCATGGAACCATCAATGCCAATAAAAACCTTTATTTTAAAAATGCAAGAAAATAACTCTAGATTCCATCTCAGCCAGTCTAATTTCGACAACTAATGGAGGTCTGTTTATCGTCACAAACCTGCTCGCATTGAATGGAACATCACTGCAAACAAAGATTCACCCTCAGGAAAAGTAGGACTAATTGTTTGGACTTGCTTGCATACAATGATGTCGGGTCTCCACCCAGGTGGATGCTATGAAGGACACACCTTCATGAAGATGAGGAATCAATTGGGGAAAGAGAATGCATAGAAAGATCATGACCTGAAAGAACGAACCTCATTCTATTTATCATGCACAAACGATGATCTTGGTTGTATTATAATGTACTTAAGGCTTATTTGAAAAAAAAAAACACACACACACACTGTTTGCCAAGTATGCTGTTGAAAGAAAAGAAAGTACAACACACTAATGGTTAAGTCCCTAAAAGTGCATACTTAAGTCTTAAAATACTAGTTCACCCTCAAAAAAATTTGCTTTTTGTTATCATTAACTGTCATTTTTTGCCATTCTCAAGAGGATTATAGGATTTATACTGGCGAATTCTGGAAAGGAAAAAAAAATCAGTATGAAAATAGTCCTTTGGATGCATCAAGTCAGCTGCCAAATACAGTTTGTTTTTGTGTCACATGACTGATAGTGATGCAACCTGTTTAAACAGAACAAAACAAAAGAGATTTGAGCATCACTGCGGAAAAAGAAAGATTGAATGACTTAAATTTAGATGTGCGTGATATTAAAATTCTGGCTGATACACAGTAAAACTATTTTTCGAAAGTTGTAAATGAAAGTAAGATTATTGGAGTATATTTTACAAAAAAAATACTAGCTTATGTTAGTCTTTCTACTTCAAAATGTCACGTGTAATTTAATTTGCTCTTTGTAATTAATCGTGAAACTTACTAGCAATTTCTGAGTGAAAATTGTTTCCATGCCAATTTTTGTATGGACAAACATTTAATATTACATGTTAATAATAAACATTCATGTTAATATAAATATTAATATTTATTTACAATTTCTATACTGTTTTGTCTAAATCAAAAATAAAAACAAAAATCTAATTGTATTTTAGTAAACTGAATTTAGGCATCTAAATTATAATTCAAAGTATGAAAAACAGTTACATTAAATGTATTTTGAAATGGGATTAGCTAAAGATTACATTTAACAGTGTGATTAAACTATTAGTGTTTTTAAAGATTAACTTTAAACGAGCGTTAGATGAAGGTTGCAAAGTGAACTAAATGAAAATAGGGAAAATGAGTATGCGCTAATAAATGTCCAGTACAGACCCATAAATAATATACATATCCAGTTAAATTTTAAGTTATCATGTGACTTCAGAAGACTAGTAATAGCACACAAGTGATATGGACCACTCAGATGGTGTTTTCGTATTGGACTTTGCCCTTTTTATCAGTACAAATCATCCACTTTTGTTGCATGGCTACGTTAAAAGACAGAATGACAAGATGACAAACTGTCATTTTTGTGCAAACTATTCATTTACAACCAGGCATTTTTTCCACTATTCCTCAGGAACATTTTTACAGTTCACGGAAAGCTTTCAATAAATAAGATGAAAGCCACATATGTGACCCTGGACCACAAAACCAGTCATAAGGGTAAATTTTGAATTAAATGCTGAATAAATAAGCTTTCCATTGATGTATGGTTTGTTAGGATCGAGCAATATTTGGTCGAGATACAACTATTTGAAAACCTGGAACCTGAGGGTGCAAAAAAAAATCTAAATATTGAGAAAATCGCCTTTAAAGTTGTCCAAATTAAGTTCTTAGCTATGCATATTACCAATCAAAAATGAAGTTTTGATATATTTACGGTAGGACATTTACAAAATATCTTCATGGAACATGATCTTTACTTAATATCCTAATGATTTTTGGCATAAAAGAAAAATCGATCATTTTGACCCATACAATGTAAAGTTGGCTATTGCTACAAATATACCTGTGCTACTTATGACTGGTTTTGTGCTCCAGGGTCACATATTTCAAAAGACTGATAAAAAGCTCAGCAAGTCGGTCTGTGCTTAACTAGACATTGACGAGTTTTCTAATGGGTTTGTTTTTACATGTTTTTCAGAGTTTCAATGCTCCACGCTGCTCTAAGATGAGGGTATGGAAAGAGATCATCCTCGCCTTCATCCTGTTTGGTGCCTCGTTTTTCCTCCTGCTTATGAAAAGCATGTCACCTGTTGGGTCCTCCTACCCAAAGGCCTTAGGGATTTCATCAGACCCTTCCTCACAGCCACCAGCCACATCATCCTCATCTTCACTCTCATCAACCTCGGCAAGGAAGCCAGCGCTGCGCCGAGCGGTCAGAGCCACGGAGGACATGGGCTTTCTTCTCTCCGAATGTAAGAGAAACCTTTTTTTGGTTTTCCTTAGCAACAGCGCCAGTGTGGATTAGGCAGCGTTGACGCAGACATGACGGAAGGATTTAATATATCATTCTACAGTCGCCGTTGTGTTTATACTACATGCCTCTGCAGCCAGCGCTGCTCAGTCACACAACTCCTCATTTATCATTCGGTTCACAGTTACCACACAAACAGTGTCTGTCAGCTCACTTGATATTTAAGACCGCCCAGGTGAAAAGATTAGAACATTTAACTAGTAGTTCAAGTGAGCTTTACTGTCATTCTGCAATATGTGGGAACGAAATGTCGTGCATCACAGGATCACGGTGCTACATAGCCTATAGGCAGACATAGCCTATATATTTTATAATCCTATAAAAGAAAGAAATAACCTATATAAATGTACATATACCTATGTAACCTATGTTAACATATAATCTATATAAACCTATTTACAGAGTAATCTAACTATACATATACACTTTACATAATTACTTTGGACACACTTGAATTTACAAAAGAAACAACATGTTGTGTCATGCTTCCCCAGTTGATTGATTACATTAAGAATTGCAAACATTTTTTTGTTAGAAGTTTTCTGAAAAGTTGTTTAAATATGCGGATGATGCATTATGTAGTTAAATATGCACTCATTTGCATGGATTTCCACAACATAAATCTGACCATTGGATAAAGCCAGGTTCAAAATTATTTTTTCAGTTTGTTCATAAACTAGAGTTAAAGGTTTTACAAAGGGGATCTTTGATTTCTCTTATCATCACTCCATAAATCAGAAAATACTGTCAACATGCAAAAAAAAGAAAAAAAAAAGAAAGCATTTTCACCATGTTTTTAGGGAAAAAATGTATCAAATCAGTGCAAATTATATATGAACAAACCCCTCTGTAAAAACCTTCCGGATATAGATAGGAATAAAACTGTGTAAGTGCTGTTGAAGTAAAGAAAACAGACTTTAAATATAATTGAAATCTACAGACACAAACAGAAAAAAGTGCAATAGAATAAATATATAAATGTATTTTGGATGTTTTCTTTCCATTAGTCTGAAACAACAATCTCAAAACCGACCATGTTTTTGACTTTAGTGTCTTGCCTTAAACTCATAAAGTACGCTGGATGTGCTTAAAGTTGTTACGGTAAGGACTGTCAATCAAAAATGTAGAAAAAGACAAATATTTCACCTCATGAAGATCATTTGAGGAAGATTTCTAATAGTTGGCTAAAACACCTTAAATTAAATTGAATTTATTATCGTCAACAATATTTTCTGCACCTTTTCTTCAGCGCCTTCATACACTATACATTGAAACAGTGTGTACTTACACGCTAAAGCAATTTTCCTAAAACACACCCAGACTGACTTTTTGATTGCAAAGAAAAGCAGTGCAGTGTTTCCCAATCTGGTACACATTTGGATGTCTCCCTTAGCTGACACCCATCTTGGTGTCTCTAAAGACAAGCTAATAAATTGAATCAGGTGTGTTTGATTAGAAAAACACATAAAATGTGCAGTGTTAGGTACTGCAGGGCCAAGGTTGAGAAACAGTGGCATGCAGTAGCGAAATACAAAAAAAAATGTGCTAAAGCCATCTTAAAGATGGACATAATCCTGCTTTACAACTCTGATCATTACAACGGTTTAAAGTGAGCCGTTGAATCCTTGACAGAATGTGCAGGTTAAGCCCTAGAGATTGATACATGATTCACTTCTATTAAAACTTATTAAGTATGTTTAATTTTTGCAATACCTACACAGAATTAAATGGAGAGCACATGGAATCTGAAGTTTCCCACTTCTCAAATGTGTCTCCTTAAAATAAGACTTAAACTCACACGTCGCCTTTAGAGTTTCAAACTGTGTTTGCATTTGCCAAGAAACTAAAGTTTCAATCAAATTCAGATATGTCAATAATACACAGTCATATTGAACATTTCAAAAGTCTAACTATAGAGCCCAAACATATTGCCTAGTATCCACATTAATTTTATTGTTCTAGAGACCACAGTGAAGGTAGACGCCATAAAAATGTAATCAGACACAGATGGAAATGAAAAAGAGTACAGAAAGGACTATATAAAATCCAGGGCTCAACAATATAGATTTTTTTTTCTGGCCAGCAGTTAACACTATAAATTCAAAACCACACTTTTGCTGGAAAACAATGATATACAGTGCTTTGTAACACATTCTTAGTGATGCTTTCAAGTCATTTTTAACCACATTAGTGTTAGCCGGCTAGATTAACAACATTTTTTTTTCCGACAAATCAGCAGAATTGAAACAACAATGTAGAATGCAATGAGTTTGCAAGGCATTTACAAATTCAGTGAATATAACATTTTTCAGTGACAGAGCAGCGCTGACCTACAGAAACCTATAGAATGAGGTGCACGTCTAAACCCAACTTTAGCCTTGTTTTCATTTGTGTCAAATTAAATATGCTTTCCACCCTCAGCGAGGTCCATTTTCTTACTGCATTTCAACAATTGTTTTATTTGTGTCTACTTTCACTTCTAAGGAATTTTAGTAAAAACATCTAAGACAAAATTGATACTTAAAGCAAACATTACTAAGGTTTGAAACACACTCTATACAAGAAAGCAAACACTTCTAAGGTGAATGCATAGATGTGTCAGACTACCCCAATGCAAGTACGTGTTCCCACAAGAATCGCTATATTAGCACAAACAGTCTTCTACAGTGAGCCGTTTCTTTCAGATCAACTACCATCATGGCAGAGAAACAGTTTGAAGAAAATCTGTTTTTTTTTCTTATGTTTTTTTGAGTAAAATAAGCTTCGAGGTTAACGTAAAGAGATTTTTACATTTTGTTATACAACATACTGTAAATTACACAAAGTCAGACCTCAAATAAGAATTTAATTCACTGTATTTAAAAAAAAAAAAAAACAAGCAATTTGCACGTACAAAAAACTACAAGGATGTGAGTTTACATGTTTGACAAGCAACTGCTTATACAGCAACTTGTTAGCAAAAGACAGACCCAGATTGGCTGATTGTGCATAATTTATGCTGTAGAACTAAACGTTAAAGTAATGTTAACAACAGAGTGAACAGACCTTATTTTTATTCATAAATCCAAAACCAAAACCACAGAAACTCCTGAGGGAATCCATGCTAAATTAGCCTGGCTTTGGTTTAATGACATTCGATTGCCCTTTGAGAACTGAGGTTTGTTACCGGCACAGTAACACAAACGCACGTTAATTATGTTTAATGGCACATTAGCCAAAAGTTTGGAAAGCATACACATTTACAAACTCACTTAAGTCTCTTGAATGATGAAAACGTAACCTCTGAGCATTAACATAATCCTCTGGGTGTTTTTCCTCCTCTAGTCTCGTACCTCTTCCAAAGTTTCACTGAGGGCGAGCTGAAGAAAGTGATTGCGACCCTGGTGGACCGTAAGGAGAGGAGGATCAGAGCCGAGACGGGACGGAGAACCAAACGAGCACGGAAGGGCCCGAAGCCGTGTTCTCTACACGAGATCGAGCTCACGGTGAGCGAGCTCGGGCTCGGGTACGAGAGCGACGAGACGGTGCGCTTCAGGTACTGCAGCGGGAAGTGCATCCACGAACGACGCAACTATGACATTGTAATGGAGCACATGCAGTTATATAACGGCTCCAGTGAGAAAGGCCGGCGAGGACGGGATAATGGAAAAAAAGACAAGGCGCGCTACGCCCCATGTTGTCGCCCTACGAAGTTCGAGAAGAAAATGTCTTTCTTTGACAACAAGGACAAATTCTACACCATCCAGAACGTCTCTGCGAGAGCATGCGGTTGTGTATGACATTCCGGTAACTATGGAAACGTCAGGGAGAATGTCTATACATTACCATGGCAACAGAGAATGTTTCAGAATTCCGTGGTAACCATAGGAGCTTTGGAAAAGGCCAAATAACCATGGAACTATTAGAGAACGTAGGGCAAATTGCAATTTCGAAAAAGATGCTGAGAGGGATCCACAATGCCACCATGGAAAAAGTGAAAGCTACAGAAAAGTGATACACAAAACACAAAAGACAAGGCCTGAATTGTCTAAAGCCTTGGCAACTATGGGAAAAATTTTGTTTCTGCCTTTTCAGTGGTTACTGGCACTTTTGATTAGTACAGGGCACTGGACTTTAACCAAAGGTGGATCGCTGGTTTAATTCGATGGGACCAAAAGCTGGTGGGAGACTCCTTTCACCTTCCACTGGAAACTTTTGCAGAAGAACAAGTACAGATATAGTAGTATTTATCCAAAGATATAAATATATATATTTACGTAGAGGGCTACAGCGACAACTGTATGCTGCTCGCTTTTGTTACGAATCTGAAAACTGAAGTATGAAGCGCAACGCAGCTGTGAAAACTACCTCATTTCTTTCTTTGTTGTTTTTTTTGTTTGTTTCCTTAGAAGAATGTACATGCAATGAATCTTGTTCTACCGCACCCACTACCTGGGATTACGCTAGTCAGAAATATGAATCAGAGGTATACATGTAGAGAAATGCTTCTCGACCAAAAGTCTCAAAGGATGGATATTGTCTTAAACAACACTGTCACTTGAAACGTATATGCACACTATATCAAACCCCTGAATTTGACCTTAAAGCCTTGCCAAGGCATGTCTGATCAAATCCAATCCCGTCCTTGAGACAATTTATACCCAGATATTTAAGTTTAATAGGAATAGGCTGTCCAATTCCAAAGACTAATAGGGAAGAGTACACCTTCAAAAGTTTTCCCAAAGTTGTCATCCTTCAAAGACCTTAAAGGTTCATTTTTTCTCATGGTCACGTTCATGTTTACATTCTTTTAGACAATGATACTCGAGATACATTGTCTTTTGTAAAGTAATTCCAGGTTTAGTCCTTCTCAACAGCAAACATTTACATTTATTATCCTTGAACACATTTATGGACGAGTAATTGTAACATTTATTTACTCAGATGGAATATTATACTCCTAAAAATAAAGGTTCTTCAATGGTTGTTTGAAGCACATCACATTAAACAAAGATCTGTCCTCATAAGAACCATTTTCTGCTGTACAAGTGCATCAAAAATTCCTTAAATTCATGATTCTTTAGATCAACGTATTGGTTTTGGGGTTCTAAAGCAACAGTAAATAGGGTTAAATCTCACAAAACCTGTCAAGAAGATGGGTCATTTCATCTTAAAATCAAATGAAAGGCATAACCAATATATTTCGCATAAAGGAAATTATGTCTGTTTATATATATATATATATATATATATTACCTTTTTAAAATTTTTTTATTTTGACATTATGTTCATGGCAATTCATTGCACTCATTCTCATATTAAGGGGGAAAAAAAGAAAATTAATGAAAAATTAATGAAAATAAAATATTTAAATTGTGAACTATTTGATAGCGTTGATAATTTATGTTGATTTAAAAAAAATATATAAAATAAAGTAATGAGAATTTGCTGGCAAAATGTGCATAGCTGCTCTGCAAAACATTTCCTGAAAAAAATTTTTTTTTGCATCAGCATAATTTTCATAAATGAATAAATAAATATATAGAAATGTGACGTGGTCAAATTATATATATACACACACACACACACACGTGTGTGTTTGCCCACGTCACAGTTCTGCAATATATTATATTATTTTCGGAAAAGTGACCTGGGCAACTTTTCATGAGAATTACCCATATGCACTTTAAAGCTAAATAGTCACTTAAAGTTTGTGCAGCTTAAATGGTTCTCCTATGCCATCAGGCTGAAAACCCCTTTGAACCTTTATTTTTTAGAGTGCACATGCTTCACCCCTCCGTTAGAAAATGTTCTTTATGTTATCTTAGTTTCTGGACTAATTATGGAGCATGAAATCTGTCATAAACACAGTTAACTGATCACTGCATGTGTGAAATTAACTGCTGAAGAGACTAATGGAGGAGTTGTAAGCAGTTCTAAGCTGTTCAGACATACAGGATTAAGTGTTAAGTTTAGCTTTGTCCTTTCAGAAACACGCTGTAAAAGTGTAGCCAGACTTTTTACTGTTACATTCCAGTCCACTCCTGTATATATTACACCATATTCCATGTAAGTCAGAAACACAAAAGGACAAATCTGGTTTATATACAAAGCGTGCTGAACAATCTGATATAGCTGAATTTGGTCTGAATCAAATGAGCCACAATCCCCAAATCAGTTCGTAGAGCATTAAGATAATGGCAACGTCTACAAGTCTCGTTTTTTGATATTCGTTCAGATAACTTCTTCATCCATGCTGTTCTTTCTCGCCGAAAAAGACTGGTCTAATTGAATAACTCTGAAGTAATTAAGGACAAAACTACAAATGAGATTGGAGTCACGCCAGGATCCATCAAGCCCTAAACATGTGTTTCCTTCAAAGCTAATGGAATTAACTGTAAAAACTAGGCAACAGCTAATGGAGCATGCAATCGTTTTACGTGGATCAATTACATTTCAATTCAGGTCTCATTTATGTATGTGAATTGTAAATTAAAACGTAATGTACCTTCTGAATGAAAATGGAATTGCTCTGATCTTGCCACACACCGTCAAACCCAGCGCAAGGACTCAAGTTACTCGAGTTTAAACAATCAGTACATCCTGCCCTGAGGAAATATCAGCAGTAGACAAGACAACATGTCTTCAATTTGTTTTTAGAAATTTAAGGCACCCTGCCAATGTTGGAAACCTACTAAGCGATTAAACTGTGTCTAAGCTTGCTAATTGGATACAGAAGGTGATCGCTCGCTTCGACAAGGCAGTACCAGTGCTGTCAATGCAAATAAAATTCTTATTTTTTTGTTCTGGGAAATTGCAAACAGTGAATAAAATATGTAAATTAAATTAACTTTAAGGAATACTTCACCCAAACTTGATAATTTGCTTAGAATTGTTCTCACCCTCAGGCCATCCAAGATGTAGATGAGCTTATTTGTTTATTGGAACAGATTTTGAGAAATTTTATATTTTTACATCACTTGCTCACCAGTGGGTCCTCTGCAGTGAATGGGTGCCGTCAGAATGAGAATGGAGAAAGCAATACTATGGATAGAGGACTCATATTTTAGCCAGAAGCAACGGTTTGAAGTTAAAAGTGTCTTGATGGATTTGTTTCTTACAAACACAGCTTTTGGCTTCACAAGACTTTAACTGATGGACTGGAGTGGCCTGGATTACTTGTGGATTATTGTGATTACATCTTGGATGACCTGAGGGTGAGTAAATTTTCAGCAAATGAAAATTGAGTGAACTATTCCTTTAAACTAGATGTCACCTAGCATGTAAAAGTTTTGTCCCCCTCTGAAAAGGCTAATGCAAATAAGACAAGGGGTTCAGTGACTCTACTTCTGTCCATTTATACTGGAGTGGAGTACTTTAGTGTCTGTATTTGTGTACACAAATGAGTTGAGGCAGTATTACAGGAATGCAAATGTGTGTGTGTGTGTGTGTGTGTGTGTGTGTGTGTGTGTGTGTGTGTGTGTGTGTGTGTGTTGTCGTTACATTTCCAATGTCAAATAATCATGATCAGCATTTGGGAGTGTTGGCTTTTTCACACCAACAGCAGAAATGTCGATGCAGTGCATCTGTATTGTGGATAAACGGTATTTATTGCAAAATGCTTTTCATTTATATTTAGATATTTCAGGAGGGAGACAGAAACTTATTTATTACTTTACACTTGTGCCAAATGGAATTTCTAATGTCGGCTGAATAAACATACCCAGCTTACAACAAAACATAAAAAAGTTGCTTATTTGTCTTGAGTTTCTAAATTCACTTTCCTGTTTATGCTCAACTACAAGATGTGTAGACGGCAGATTTACAATGCCGCAACTTCAGGGCACAAACAGAAGAATTCAATATGGTGGGAGAGATCTTGTTTACAGCGCTTTGATGTTTAAGCGATTGGGGTGATGTAAGGACGGTAAAAAAAAAACAATCGAAATGAAAACAATACCATAAATAAGTGGACAACTCGTTAACGTCAAAGCGAAAACAGATTCTCAGAATGTAAAATCCAAAATAAGTCATTTCATAAGCATTCACCCCATTTAATATGACCTATACCATCACTGCTGCGGCCAATTGGGTTTAGAGGTCACATAAATACTTAAATTGAGATCACTTGTGTTGTCAAGGGGCTTGATTCTAGTATAAATACACCTCAATCTGGAAAGTCAGTACTCTGGCAGAACCGCCATCAAGAAAAAAAGATCAATCCAAGCAGTTAATTGAAAAGCACAAGGAAGGAAACATATACCAGAAGAGTTCCACGTCACAGAGTATCCCATGGAGTACAGTTAAATCAATCGTTAAGAAACTCAAGAAGCTGTAAATCTAAGGGAGGCCACCAAGAGACTAAAGACAACTAGACTACCCCAACCAGACAAGGGGTCGTAATACAGAAACCAATACCGTCTTAAGTTGAGATCTGAACAGTTGTTCCAACACAAATTGCCTTACTAAACAGAAACGTTTTTGTAATATGGCCCCAGATCCCAATCTGAATGGTAATTTACAGGCAAACTTTAAAAAGGCTGTTCACACACAACCTTCATGTAAGCTTGACCAAGCTTGAGTAGTTTTTAAACGGAACAAATGAGGGGGAAAAAACCCTGTAGCAGCCAGATGTGCGATGCGTGTTGACATGAAAGAATATTTTACTGTTGATCGGTGTCAAAAAAGGTTGTAAAACATGAAAGCGGCCAAGGGGGTGTGAATACTTCTTACTGGCACAGTACGTTTGTAAAATCATGTTAATTAACACATTATTTGGATTTTACCATCACATAATTAACTGAAATGTTTTGAACAAATGTTCAAAAGCACGAGCACATACAAAAAATCTTTACAGAAATGAAACTGGTGATTTAAGCTTGTGCAGAGAAAATCGTGATAAGCATGATAAATACAACCACAAATATAACTGTTGCAATTGGCTGTAAACATTTAGCCCATTGTAGGGTGACCGTCAGATCTGGGTCACTTCATTGCAATGTCACTGGTGCATATCACTGTTGTGCACATGAATCCAATGACTCTACACAACCTCTA